TATGGATGGAGAGAAGAGGACAGATGTGAGAACTAGAGTTGACAAGGCTTTATAAATGATTGGAGTTGGAGACTGGAGGGACAGTGGAGATTCGGGACGACTCTGAGGGGAACCTGGGTGACTCGGAGGAGAGTGGTACCATCAGTAGAATTAAGGAAAGGGGATGGGTTTGGGACATAAGATAATGAGTTATGTTGTAGACATGTTGAGTTTCGTGTAACTATGGGACATCTATAGCTTATAGGCTGGGAGAGTGGCCTGAGGCACCAAGCCTTGCCTTTGACACATACCGTGTGAGCACAGTCAGTGGGAGCATTTACACCTCAGAAATTCAAAAATGCTACAAACCAGTGCTCAATTTATTGTTTTGTTGGTTAGCGAAACTTAAGCGAGCCATGGAGATAGCATTGCTATATATCTTCGGATATGTATATATGATGCAGATTAAACTTTTTTAAAAAAAATCATACTTTGAGGCAATTCAGTTTTGTCAAACTTTTACCAGCACATCCCTTATTCCCTGCTCTCAAGGAGCTTACATTCTCCTTGGGAACAGAGATACAGAATGTACTTAAGGAGATGCAAAGAATATATAAAATAATGCAAAGTAGTTTCCAGTAGGAGAAAGACTCAGCAACTGGGGAGAGTGGGTCAGGAAAGGTCTCTTAGGTGAGAACATCCAAGCTGCGCTTTGAAGGAAGCTAGAAATACCCTTGAGGGTAAAGCTGTGTATTCTGTATCTTCTACCATACCTTCAGTGTCTGAAGCATCCAGTAGGTGCCCAGTGGTTATGAGATTTGAAATAAGTATTTAAAAAAACAGTCATGCATGTGCATATATACAGTGATTGTAGCTACAAGTACACATGTTAATTTGGAAAACAGGAATTCCCTTAAGAGTCATTTGCATAATAGAGCCTAATCCATGTGTTCCCCAGACCATTGGTGATTGTGAGGGTTAAAGGTGACTTTTTTTCCAAGTGATAGTTTTGCTGTTGTATAGCCTGACATTTATGCCGTGTGTCCTTTTGGGGGAAACGCTGCTTCCAAGTACCGATTATCAGGGAATTCCAGCCAAGTTCCAATTGCCTTGTGATAATGCAGCACTTTGTTAGTGAGCAGGTTCAGAACTGATATCCCCATTATGGAGCATATCACGGAATGAATGTTATTGTTAAGTATACAGACAGGACATATTAGTGGTATCTTTTATTACACAGTCTTCATTATAAAGGAACAGCTCTTGCTAAAACGTTCTCTGCTTGATAGGTGGAGGTACATTGTTCCTGAGCTGTTGGCTCTGATTAAGGCTGGGATAGTGCACAGCCTCTGCCTTTAATGTCCGTCAGGAGGCAAGACAGACCAAGGTAAAATAGATGAGCATATGTTGGCAACAGATTAAAAAGGCCAGTGTAAAGTCCATTAATAATTCTTATATTTAGGATTGGCTCCATACTGTACTTAGCACATCTGCACCATTTAATCTCTTCTCAGAGAGACCAGCTGAGAGAACCTTTTTCCCCCCTCTGAGCGATAGGCCTGGATTTTCTGAGGCAGCACATTTGTCTGTCAGCGCCGTGGGCTGCTTGGTGATTTACTTTCCGTCAGATGATGTTGGTGTCCGGTTGATGATATAGCCTTGCTGGATATGGGGAAATTTGTTACCTTTAGCTTTGACAGGAAGATAATTGCTGATGGTTAACAGAACTGAGCAGAATCCATTGGTTTTCTAGTAACACAAGCCATGGCATCGGCTTTGAGGACCTAGTCTTTCCCCCAGATAAACTTCCACACTGGGTGTTTTCACAGAATGCATGTATTTATTTTATTTTGCACCTTGGTGGAACTGATGGACATCTAAAAAAAATTTTTTTTTAAATGACTGATGTTGAAAAACAAGCTCACAAAGGTGGGTAGGGGATGTTCTTTGAAAAAGGAAAGAAAGAAAGAAAGCCACGGGTGCCACGGTGTATTGAGTCAAGTTGGCATCTCTTCAAATGCTTCTTTTGTAATTGCCATCCCCCAAAATGCAATGCAGTTTCATAAGGGACCTTGATCACCTCTTTGGAGAGCACATAAATCCTGACTGCAGTCATACAGCAGAGTTGGTTTTCCTCCACATTGTGATGGGGGTGACAGTGACAGTCTTAATATTCTAGCCTTAAGGGCCTCTTCCTAAGACCTTAGAAAAAAAAACCCCACACACATGCTATAGCCAAGGAGAAAAGAATATGCCTCTGAGAAACCTTGCTGGGCACAGATTCAGGGCAACCTAGTCAGGTACACTGAATAGAAGAGGGCAGTAGAAAATCAAGAATTGGGGGTGGGATGGTAAAGGCCCTATGGCCAGGGGCAGAGGGACTTTATTTAGACCAGAGAGAATAGGATTTAGCTCTTACCCCAGGGGTTTTTTTTTTAATATTGTACTAAATCCTAGGATACAAATACTAGCAAACAAGTCAGCCCCTGCCCTCAAGGAGCTTATATTCTAAAGGGAGAAGACAACACAAAAATGGGAGCTCAAAGGAGGAGTGAGTATGCACATAGTTGTGGTCTGGAGATAGCCAGGATAGAGATGAAAGTGCAATTCAGGCCTAGGACTTTGTTAGATAAGGTAAAGCCCTTCAATCACTCCCAGGGGTGGAGTCCAGTGTTCCCTTGGAGAAAAGATGGAGATAATAGTCTAAAGTAAAGAAGGTAAAGAATGCTCATCTATTAATGGGCTTCAGTGAGGGAGGTGGTGGTCCCAGTAAGTAGTGAAAATTCCTCATCTAATACTAGCAGTAACATTGCACCCCTTTCTGAGGAACCAGATAATAAATTCTTGAAGGAAAGAATATTTTTTGAAATTTAGATGATTCTTGGACTTTTAATCTTATAGGGGATGTTTCTCTAGGTTATCTTGCTGCCAAAAGAATGGGAAGCCCAGCCACAGGAATAATCTTTTGTAGACAGATAGAGACAAAGACAGACAGATAGAAACAGAAAGAGAGACAGACAGAGACAGAAAGACAGATGGAAAGAAACAGACAGGTAGACAGACAGATAGAGACAGAGACAGAGATACAAACACAGACAGATAGCAGTCTGGATTTTACTGCCATCCCCTTAAGCCAAAAATGCAAGGTATTCTGACTCATACCAAGAGTTAGCCAACCTGTATGGCTACAGCCTAGGACCACTGGGTGGGATTGTAGTGGAACTTAGTAATAGACTTAGGGACTGGTTTTTTGTTTGTTTGTTTGTTTTTTACTAATGACAACAGTGGTACTAATTCATTCTCTTAGTATTTATTGAGTGCCAAGAGACAAAATTAACTAGTGAAAAGAATTCTGGATGTGAAATTGGAAGATACTGTGTCAAAACATGACTCTGCTATTTATTAGCTACGTGACCTTGGGCAAGTAACTTAAAATCACAGGATCTCAGCTTTCTCAAGGGCAAAATCAGTGGATTAGAGAGATTATCTCTAATGTCTCTCTCAGTTTTAAAGACTATTATGCTTCCACCCTACTATGAACTACAGGAGACAAAAGCCTCTACTCTTGTTCTCCAAGAGCTTCCAGCCTTGGCTGGAGACAAAGCTAATCTGTACAAAATGCTTAATATATTTAATGTTTTAATAATAATAATAACAACAATAAGAAATACAAGATGGTATGGGATTCAGAGTAAAAACAGGTAGTAATAAAGTATTGCATTAATGGCTTGTTTTTTGTTTTATATATATGTATGTAGTGTCTTTTGTTTTTATTTCCCATTTATTTCTCATTATATCCCTTTGTCCTACCCAGAGACAATCTCTTGGGTAAGAAAACAAAAAAATCACAAATTTTTGAGGGGCTATGGGAAAACTAGTATATCAGTCATAGCTGGTGGAGTTGTGAATCAGTTCAGCCATTCTGGAAAAAAATGTGGAATTGTACCCCCAAATATCAAACTCTGCATATCTGTTGACACAGAAATACCACTCCTAGGCCTCTTCCCCAACAAGATCAAAGAAAGTAGAAAAGAATTCACATGTGCAAAAAATCTTTGTAGCAGTTCTTTTTGAAGTGGCGAAGACCTAGAAATGTGAGGGCTACCCATCATTTGGGGTATAGATAAATAAATTATGGTCTGTGAATGTAATGGAATGCCTGGTTGCTGTTCGGTTGATTGGCCATGTCTAGCTCTGTGGCTCCATTTGGGGTTCTCTTGGCAGAGATACTGGAGTGGTTTGATGAGGAAACTGGGGCAAACAGGATTAAGTGACTTGCCCAGGGTCACACAGCTAGTAACTATCTGAGGTCAGATCTGAACACAGGTCCTCCTGACTCTATGGCCAGTACACCGCACCACATAGCTGTCTCCGTTGTAATATTATTGTGCCATAAAAATGATGAAAGGGACAATATCAGAGTAATCTGGTAAGACTTCTATGAATTGATGCAGAATGAAGCAACTAAAACCAAAACAATGTATTCAATAGTATCAACACTGTAAAAAACAAACACCTTTGAAAGACCTCAGAATATTAATCAACACAGGCCACACACCTCTATGGACTCAATGCACACAATCATATGTATATATTATATACATATGCATACACATATATGATACGGCCAATGTGGGAAATTGTTTTACTTGACTATGCAGAGTTGTTAGAAGAATCTCCATTCTTCTCCCTCCCTTACCCCTTTCGATGTTGGCAGATATGTGAGAGAGAGAAAAAATAAATGTTTGTTCATTAAAAAAAACAACCCTATTATAAAGTTAAAGAAAAAGGAAGAAAAATAGCAGTTTAGTGCATCAATCATGTGTGATAGTTTATTCAATATTCCACACCCATAGCTTTCCACCTCTACAATTTCTCAACTCTTTTTTGAGACCAAACCTTGTCATTATAATTATGTAATGTTCATAAATAAAATGTTTGTTTCCATTTCCTTTGTTGTAATCAATGTGTATATTATGTTCCTGGTTCTGCTTACTTCACTCTCTCTCTCTTTCCTTTAGTTACTGTTAGAGAGCTGTCTGTGAGGAAAGAGATCCCTGTGAGATGGAGTAATTAGAAGAAGATCCAAGGAGAAAGGGGTACTTGAAGCTGGCCCTCAAAGGATGGAATTATTGGCTAGGCAGAGAGGAAGAGGGCGAACATTCCAAGCAGGAGGCCAGCATGAAGCCAAGTTGCACGTTGTTGAGAAAATGGCATGATGGAAAAGGTGGATGGGGAGGAGATGAAACTGATGAGGATGGAAGATTAGTAGGTGTGGTCAACCTTCTAAGCAGTCCTAGCAGCAGGTCAGACCCTTCCCTACTCACCCAGATCTGGGGGTTTGGAACATGCTGGGAGATTGCAAAGTCACTCCAGTTACTGGGCTTTTCTAATCTCTTGGTTCTGGGCACTTGGTACATATTCTTGAGAATGTCCTTTTTCAGGTCATTTAAATATACCTCATTCCTACTTTTTCCTCTTACCTGTATTATTGTCACTATTATCGGAGAGGCTAGGAATAGAATGGAGTTGGAAAACATGGAAACTACTTCAGTGACATATTTCCCATCTGTGATGAACCTCTTTTCCTGTGTGATAATACACATTTAAAAATATTGATTCTCTGCTACCCCCTTTGAAACCTTAAGAAGGCTGACCTCTGACTTCACAGTCTATGGGTTGAATTTTTCATACGAACCTGTCAACTCCTAGGCTAGGAGATCTAAACTGGGTGGGGGTTGCGGTTGGTTCTGGACAGCCATTCAAACATCCTAAAGAACCAGACACAAGGAGGAAGAGATTTTTAATAAAATCCTGTGTGGCAGAGGCTCAAGTTTAATGAGTTTTAAATAGCTCATAGGAAGGGAGGCAATTCCATTGCAAAGCCATACAGAGTAGCCCCGCTGGGAGCTCAATGAGGGGCCGTATCTCAGGAACTCAGGGAGCTGCCCAGACCCAAGAACCCAGAAACTGTAGGTTGTGTCTCAAAGTTTAGTGTAAGTTTCTCCTCCCACCTTACCCCACCTCCCCAACACTGAATGTGCATCATTTTCTTTTCTTTCCTTGGTTTTACCACTGTGTGACCTCGTGTTGTATTTTTTCTGAATGACAATGAAAGTAATTGAAAATATTGATTGGCAGTACAGTTAAGTTGTCAACACAACCATTTAATTTGTCAGGAGGACTTGTTAAATTGTCAAAAATCATATAAAAAAACTCCTTCAGTCACTGATGATATACATTAGAGATGTTCATGAATCAAATGGGCCATTTTGGAGATAAGTGTTGGAGAAAAATTCTGAAATGGTTTTCTTCAGATATGTTGTTTCTCTCTCTCCCTCTCTCTCTCTCTCTCCTTTTCTCCCTCTCTCCCTCTTTCTCCCTCTCTCCCTCTCCCTCTCCCTCCCTCTCTCTTCCTACTTCCCTCTGTCCTTTTTCTTTCTTGTTCCTTCTTTCTTTCTCTCTTATATTAAGTTCATAGGGATTTTAAAATTTTATTTTAAGGATATTCCTGATATAACTCCGTCAGCTAGAATAAATGAGAGATATTTTGGGTGGAAGGATTTACCAAGTTTACAAGATGTTAGGTGCATAGTAAATAACCCAGATTTAATATAAGCCAGGAAAATTGGAGAGAAAATTTTCTCAAATTTCTTAAATATTAAAACATTTTTAGGAAGTTTCAGGGGAATTTTTTTTTCAGATGCTTCTTGATTAAATGTTTTGGTATCCACCTTCACTGATAGCAAAAAGAGAAATCAGCTCTGGCTTCTTGCCTTGGGGACACAGGAGACTTCACTCCTTTGCTTCTGCAACCCTTCTTTGCTTTTTCATTTTTTCCTCTCTTTCCTGGTTTGTAAGACCTCAATCTGCCAACTAGAATGTACATTAGCCTGATTTAGATTAATTTTCCTATAGTGCTTTCTGCTGCCCCATCCTCAAAATGGGGCAGATCACACCCATAAATAGCCCTGACATGATGAATTTTCAGCTCTCTATATTTACTACAGCAATAATTTGTAATCTAACACATTGGATAATATGCCTCACATGCTAGAGTATGACACTGGTTCCTTTTATTGGAGGAAATAAGATCAGATTTCTGGCTTTGTATCTAGTTGGTAGAACAGAGAATCAGAATGATTATAACCCAGAGCTGTCGAAGTCGGGTTTCATTGGTCCCAGGGAGGACAGACCAAGAAACTGGGGTCAGTATGAGATGGATGCCCCTTGCTACCCTAGAATAACCTAGGAAATCTTGGGTTCTCAAAAGGAGAACTTGTGTTTAGAGATCAGTGGTTTGCTGCACATGGTCTGAGAACCACTGAAGGTTCAGAAAGGTCCTCAAGCTGGAGTAGGCTGTTGGTGTTTATAAAATGATATTGCTCTGCCATTTGCTTCTGCCATGAGTTAGTGTGGGAGGCTCAGTCAGGATTCATCTTCTAACTTTGCAACTTACTTGCTGATTGACCTTAGACAAGTCACTTAACCTCTTTCAGGTTCCTTCACAGTCAAGCAAGCAATCAACAAACATTTCTTAAGAGCCTGTCATGTGCTAGTACTTTACTAAGTGTTGGGGTTACAAAGACAGAAAGAATTTAGCTTTGACCTTCAAGGAGCCTTGCATTTAAATGTAAGAGATGTGCACACGTGCATGTATACATATATACACATATATATCTAATGCATGTGTATATATGGGTCTATGTGTGTGTATATATATGTTATATACATATGTTTATATTTATATATAATGGATGCAAGCTAATTTGGAGAGAGTGCATCAGCAGTTTAGGGAATCAAGAAACACTTTCTGTAGAAGGTGGTGCTTAAGCAGAATCTTGAAAGAAAGCAAGAACTCTATTAGCCTAGTTCAGACCTTCACCATCTCTCACCTGGCCTATTGCAATAAGCTTGTGACTGAAACATTCTGCTCAAGAAGCTTCAATGGTTCTCTCTTGCCTCTAGAATAAACTAAAGACTCCATTTTGGAATTTAAGACTTTCATGATTTGGCTTTTTAAATGAGCCGTTAAAAGCTTATCACGTATTACTTTCTCTCATGCACTCTCTATTCAAATCAAACCAACCCACTCACTGTCATCTGTATCCAACATTCTGCTTCTTGTCTCTGATTACAGACCAATCCCATTCTTGGAATGCTCTCCTTACTCACTTTCTCTTCAATAACAGCCCTCATTTTCCTTCAAGATTCAGCTCAGTTGCCTTTAGGTAGACGAGACCTTTGTCTTTCATGTTCATTCTTGCTTCCTGTTGTATTTCCTTTGCCCCCTGGCCTGATCCACTGGCTATGGGGTTGGCCTTAGTGTTCTACCTCTGCCACATAGTAACTCTGTGACCCTGAGCAAGTCACTTAAGCACAATCTCTAAGCAGCCCCCCAAAACGACAAACCATCAATCTAGGTTGATAGAAGGCATTTCCTCACCAGGGAGGTCCCCAGGTCAGTGAAATCACCTGTCCAACCCATCCTATTTTTGCATTTACTTATATACTTTGTATCTCCCCCCCCCCCCAGCAGAAATCACTGGTCCAGCCTGCCCTATTTTTGACATTTATTTATATGTGTATACTTTGTATCTCCCAGTAGATTGTAAGCTTCCTTGAGGGCAGGGACTGTTTCATTTCCATCTTTGTGTTCCTGGCACCTAATACATGCCTGCAATAGTAAGCTTTTTTTCCTTTTCTTTTTTTTTCTTTTTTCTTTTTTCTTTTTTTCCTTTTTTGGCTAGGCAGTGGAGTTAAGTGACTTGCCCAGGGTCACATAGCTAGTAAGTGTCAAGTGTCTGAGACCAGATTTGAACTCAGGTCTTCCTGACTCCAGGGCTGGTGCTCTATCCACTGCACCACTGAGCTGTCCTAATAGTAAGCATTTAATAGATGCTTGTTGAATGAATGTTCAAGACGAGTATTTAGCAAGTATCTGTTCTGAACTTAGCATTATGATAGGTGCTTTGGCATGGGAAGGTAGGAGAGAGAGGGTCATATTACTGGTGAACGAAGGCACAGGTTTATGTGAAATGAGAAACTATCCAAAATCCGTGTAAGAGTAAGTGCCAGATCTATCGTTCTTTTCATTGAAAGTGTTTTTTACAAGCAGAAAATGGAAATGAAAAGGGTAGGTGGTCTGTGAACTGAAGACATGCCCATTTGTGGTCTAATGATGAAGGCAGTATCAGCATATGCTCTTATTTGGCATACGTCCCCATATACAGAACTTTCCTACCCTGGGCCTCTGAGTCTGAGTAAGAATAGGTGTGAATAGTGTCTGAAAAAGCCTGTAGCTCAGTGCTTTCCTTCCTGCATCAGATTTACCGATTCCAAATGTCTACTGAGGACTGAAGCCAGAGATAAGTCTTGAGTAAACCTGGCCTTCTGAAGGTTTGGCAAGGCTAATTCCAACGTGGGATTTGGCAGAAGTGTTTTGTGGAGTTGGGAGCTTGGATGTTCAAAGAATTCCACTCCTGGCAGGAAGTGGTATTATTAGAGGAAAGATGACTGATGGAGTATGTCAATCAGTCAATCACCAAACATTTATTAGGCATTGACTAGGCAAGGCACTTTGCTAGGTGTTGGGAAAACAGTCCCTGTCCTGAAAGATCCTACATTCTGCTGGGAGAGACATGTGTCCACATTGTGTAAGTATATACCAAGAAATTCAGAATACAAAATGTTGTTTAGGACAAGATGTCACTAGAAATTGGGGGTGGTGGTGGTAGTGGTGGAGATATCAGAAAAGACTCCATGTAGAAGGTTGGGTTTGAGCTAATTCTTGAAGTGAGTATAGCAGGGGTAATATCTAGAGTTGGTTATGTGCATCAGCTCCTTTCCATGGGACCATGCACTCTGTTGCCTTGCCAAAGGGCATACATGACACAGAAAGGGTCCAGTGGGCATGTCCAATACCAGATATCATCCTTGATACAGAATAAAGGAATTATATGAAATGGAAGTAGGGAGGGAGGACATTCCAGGAATGAGGCACAGCCAATGCAAAGGTGTAGAGATGGAATGTTATGTATGAAGAGCACAAAGAAGGCCAAATTATTTCCAAGTTTGTAAATACAAACTCAATTCAACAAATACTTCTTAAACACCTACTGAATACAGAATACTGTTTCAGGTCCTGGGGATGATAGAAAGGTGAAATAAGACAGGATTCCTGTCAGTGACATACGTTGCATATTTGAGCCCCCTCTCCCAGGAGCAGATCATATTTAACATGCCCTTCTCTGCATGACAGTTATTTTCATTAGTAATCAAGAAATGAAACAAATAAAAATAAGGACCTGAAAAAAATGTGGGGAGTAAAAAAATTTCTTTTATTGAAATTCATATACATAATCATGCCAGTAAAAATTAAAAAAAAATAAATATCATACTATGAAAAAGGGGAGGGGGAGTAATAGATTAATACTTTTGAACTGCATTAATGTAATGCCTTAAAGATTGTTCCACACATCAAAGAAGACCATCAAGATGACATGGAAATCCTTGATCTAGGAATAGTGACTTCTCTTGGGGAGCTGTCACCATCTCCTTCATCTCAATTTTTGGGGAGCAGCTTTGGCTCTTCCCCTATGCCAGAACCCTGTAGCAGTCCCCCCTGGGACTGAGGCACATTGTGTCTTGACTTCTTGTAGTCAGTTGCCCAGGGGCTACACCTGCCTCGGTCTCCACAATTCATTCCTGATGCTTTTGCCAGAGACCTACTGGGAAGGTGCTTCCTTGTTTGAGAACTCTGCACTTTCCTCTGGGGTTCTCTCTCCAATCTGCCCCCTTACTGCCTGCACTGGTACCAGACTCCTCCACAGGACTGCCCATGGAGCGACAACATATTATTAGCACCTATATAAGGTGCTATGTTAAGTAATGTACTGTACAAAGACAAACATAAAATTATTTCTGCTCTCAAGGAGCTTCCATCCACTTGGGTACAATAGAAAGAGCAATGGATTTGCAATCAGATAACTTAGATTCAAATTTCCCCCCTCCTTCCTTCATTATTAGTGTGATCTTGGGTAAGTCACTTAACTTCTCAGTACTTACCTCAAGTCTCCTCACCTGTAAAATGAGGGGGTTAGACTGGATGGTCTCTGAGGGCCCTTTGCAGTTTTAAATCTATGACCATACACACCCAGAGAAGTGAATACGATGTGTCTATGAAATCATATAAAATGTTTTCAAGAGGGGGAGAGCTCAGAGAAGATTGGCGAAGGTTTCATGTAAGAGGTGGCGCCTGAGTTAGACTTGGAAGGAAGTGAGGAATTCTATGAGACAAAGGTGAGGAGGGTGCACACCAGGCAGGGGGACTAGCTTGTTCAAAGTCATGGAGGTAGGAGATTGAATGTTCTATTTAGAGAATAACAGGCCAGTTTGACCAGAACTGAGAGTGAGTGACAGGTAGAGTTATGTGAAATGGTGTGAAACAAGACTATAAAAGCAGATGAGAGTCAGATGGTAGAAGGCTTTAAAGGGCAGGCTGAGGATTCACATGGTGAGAATATTGGGGAGGTATAAACAGACTGCTAGGTGAGATCTGCAAGGGGAGAGGTCATGCCACAGTCCACTGTGGGAATCCAGGAAGGCTTCCTCAAGGAAGGGGCCTTTGAAGTAGTCTTTAAGGAGTGTGTTGGAATTCTCCAGGTGCGGAAGAGGAAGGGGAACATTCCCAGCTTATGGCACAAAGCATTCAAAGGCATTTAGGTGGGAAAATACACACTTTGTTTGGGGGAAAATGTGTAGAGCTGGAGTGATGGAAATAACACAGATAGAAATAACATAGAATAAGACTAGGAATGTAGGGTGACCCCAGATTGTTGATTCTGCTTCCACAACATTTTCCTCCTCTATCCCCTTTTCTTTTCTCCACCTAAATGGCCACCACAGTAGTCTAGGGCCGTATCACCTCTTGCCTGTACTATTAAAAGTCTTCTAATTGGTCTCCCTCTTTTCCAGTTTCTCCCTGTTCCCGTTCATCCTCCATATAGATGCCAAGGTGATCTTTCTCAGATATAACAATGGCTGTGTCACTCACCTGCTCAAAAACATGCTGGGATGTCCTGTTGCTTCTAGGATAAAATATTGGCATTTAAACCTTCCACCATCTAGCTGTAATCAAGCTTTCTTATTGCGCATTACTGCCCTTCACTCACTATGATGTTCCTGCAAACTGAAACAATAAGGGTTCTGTCTTTCACCACTGTGATTTTAGTCAGCTATCCCTCATGCCTAGGGTTAATTCCTCCACTTCTCTATCTCTCATAATCATTATTTGCTTTCCAGGCTTGGCTAATATGCCATGCCTTCTATGAAGCTTCTTTGATTCCCCCAATTGTGAATGCTTTTACTCTCCTCAAATTGCATTGTCTTTCTTTTTTTTTTTTCTTCTTGTATTTATTTCTCTGACTTCATGTGGGACCCCTCGGTAGAATGTAAGCTTCTTAACAGCAGTGCCTGTTCTGGTTTGCCTTTGCATTCCTAGTATTTGCCATAATGCCTTGTAGATAGCAAGCACTAAATAAAATTTTAATACATTGGAAGGTCTTGAAGGCCAAGCAAAGAAGACTGGGCTTTACTGGATAGACAGGAGAAATCTTCCAAAGGTTTCTGAATAGAAGAGGGGCATGGCCAGATCTATGTACAATGACCAGGTAGGAAGCTCTGAAAGCTTGGGGAGAAATCACATTTTTGAACAGTAATGTTGTTCTTACCTCTTATTCTGTCTACTGTCACTATTCTGTTGTGATTATGTCATTGTGATAAGGCTGTCTTTTTATTCTCACTCTTAAAAAAACCTTAAAACCCCAAACATTCTAAATTCCTTAGTGGATTTTGCTACTTTCTTCCCTTCCTTTCTGGAGACTTCGTTGGGTCTTCTTGCTATACTTTACATCACTGTTATCAAATTCAAATAAAAACAGGGGCCACTAATTCATGCATAAGCCATATGTTGACTTAGAAAACTGTGTTTTCTAGATATGTTAACATTACCTATGTTCTATTGTATTTTTATGTACTTTTGGTAAATATTTCCCAATAACATTTTAATCTGGTTCTGGCTTCATCGGGTGGAGTTGTTTATATATGTTTGGCACCTCTGCTCTGCTACATGAAGACAGGGCAGGAAGCGGACTTTTGAGGTTACCTAGTCCATACTTGGTTCCTAGGCAATATGTCAGCAAAAGCCAGCTGAAAAACAGACCCATGTCCAAAGACTCTCAGGTGTAGAGATAGTAGAGCCTCTTTTGGTTGTCCTTTTGAAATAGAGTGCAAAAGGACTGGATTCTTGCAACACAGGAAGTGGAGACTTTTAGGGAGTTGGATTTGGCCTCAGAGATCCCTTTTATCTTTAAATCTATGAGTAGTTGTTGTTGTGGAAATGTCTTTCCTTGTCGGTAGACACTGGGTATCCTATCACTGAATGTGGGCAACAAGTCAGTGATGGTATTCCTTGCCTTAGTTACATTCCAATTGCTTCTTGAAAAATGACCTCCCTACCTGAGTCTTCCTTGCCCAAACTACAAATACCTATGTGTGGCACTCTGAGAAAGGATAGTTGCCTAATCTTGCCACCACAGCCTTTGAACCCAGAACTCGGGCAATGGAGGAATATTACATTAATCCTTGCACCATTTACCCTCCTTATCTAATAGCCCAGGCCTATTCTTTGTTACTAACAACAATGAAGAGTGCCTTTAAGAAATCTCCAGTGAGCACCGAGGCATTGCAGATTAGGTCAGTGGAACTGCTGCTAGGTTGAGCATGATGGATGAGCAGGAGAATGAGTTTCTGCTGCACGCCTTTGTGAAATCTTTTCATTGTCACCAACGGGCCTATGAGGAACTGATGAATGAGGGAGCAAGTGTCAGAAACGCCCTTCCTTGCCCCGGTACAGTTTTAATATCTCCCCGAGCTACGGGATGAGTATTGATAAAAGTAAAGTTTAAAAATAGCCACCAAGTGATGGGTAGTGATGATTTAAGGAGAACAGCAATGGGGTTAGAGAGGGTTCATTTTCTGAAAGTGCAGGGAAGAGAGAGAGAGAGACAGAGGGAGAGAGGAGGAGGAGGAGGAGGAGAGTGAGAAGGAGATAGAGGGAGTGAGAGCTGGACTGTGGGGGAAAGAGCAGGAGGCTTTTTATAAGAAGCTAATGTGATGAGGATGACGAGTACTTTGATGGATGATGTTAGTTCCATCTGGTTGCAGTAGATGTAATAAATAGCCATGCTCATGTTTGACCTCTCCCACTTACCAGACACATCTTTCTCTTTGGGGATATCCAGGAGGGAGCTTCCATTAGGGGGAAAAAAAAAAAGAATGGGCATGATACAGAGCTCGGAATGTTTATGGTCTTATGCAGAGGGCAAAAGGGAGACGGTATCGGAGTTACAGGTTTATAAACTGAAAAATGCTGCCTGCGCCGCTTGGTAAAGATGATGTTTTGTTACAGAAACACATTTTAAAGGCTTCTATTGTGTTTGGCAGAAAAGGAAATGGAGCTGAAGGACCATCGATCATGGAAGGATTATGGAATCTCAGCCCTGGGAAGAACCTTAGAGATCAGAAAGATGAGGGGAAGCATGTGCAGTGGTCCATCCTGTGGCTACTCTGGGAAACATCTCTGCCTCTATCTCCATCTCGAGGCACACTCTGCCAGATCAATTGTCCTCTTTGTACAAATATTAAATTAACCCAGGAATCAAATGTGAATGACAGTAAGGCCTTGATTAACCAGAATGCTTGGGGAATGGCGTATTCTAGTTAATTGAATTTTCTGGTTGACCTGTAACAGATCTTTTAAAAATGTACATGCTAGTATATTCCCATGCCTTGGTAAGTACAGTATGGTGAACCTTATTTTAAAGATTGAGATATTTTTAGGCCATGAGGGTCAATATTCTGCAGGGTCATGTGCAGCATTTGGCATTATAGCTAAAGAAGGCATAGGAGACTAGATTGACTCTATACAGAATCCAAGACATACCCTTATCATCTTCTTCTTCCTTTTTTTTCTTTTTAAACGAATGTTTATTTAAAAATAAAATCCTTGCTCTGAAGGTGTTTTGTTTTCTTCCACTTTTTTCTTTTAATAGTTGAGTGTACCCTCTGTTTGTGCTGGAGAGGCATGGGCTATGGATGTGAATTGTTGCATATACTGTCAAATAGGGCTGCTCTCTTAGCTATTTTTGCTTTGCTCTTTTTCTTTATTATGAGGGAAGTCTCGTAAGGTGATGATGTAACATACCCAGAAAGGACAGTGTTGTAAAAACTAAAGTCATCAATAAACTTGAAAATAAAGCTGGAGCTTAAAGAAAAAAAGTCATGCAAACATTCTTATTCCCTCAAGGCTGAAATTACACGGGTCCTAGTCAATTGATGTTTTATTATTATTAATAATAATTTGGCAGGAAGTGGCACATGGCCTTAGTTATAGAAATAGCAGCAAAATGGGAAAGATCATGTGGCCAATTGCTTGTTAAAGGAGGAAGCAGTGTGCAGCAGGAGAATTGGCCACTGGACTTAGGGACAGAAGGCCCCAGTTCGCCCACTCACTTAACCACTGTGTCCTTAAGTGTTCTTGTGAGGTCAAGCTTTCATTCCCTGAAAGCTGTAAGGCAGAATGCAAGTATGAAAAAATGATGATTAATGATGATGATGCTTGTAATTATTATTAAGGATAAACACATCCTATGATCATAAGATTTTAGAACTTTAAGGGGCCTTAGAGGTCATCTAGTCCAATCCCCTTATTTTACAAATGAAGAAACTAAAGCCTGTGGATGAGATGACTTGTTCAAGGTCACCTAGATAATAAGTGGCAGAGCTGGGATTCAAATCTTAGGCGTTAGGCTATAAATCCAGTGTTCTTTCTGCTATGCCAAACTGCCTTATGGTTTGTTTTTGAGGTTTTCTTGTTGTATTGAAGCTTCCTTAGTGAAAACCTAGAAAGCTGCTTCCCTTCCTGCCTCCCCACCCCCTTTCTTTGCTTTCCTCCAGGAAAAGGCCCTTAGAACACTAAGCTAGGGATTTTAAGTAGTGGAATGCCTTCTGAACTCCACCATGTGTATTAGAGGTTCTATACCTCCAGAATGTCCAGGTCAAGTGTGCCCCTGGCTTTCTATGTTGTGACAAAGAGCAGGCTGGATAAAGTGGCTGACATTCTCAACCCTCCCAGGGGTATTTACATTTTAAAAGTAGGCCAGCTTGTTAACTCAGATGAGTCTGGTAGACTTTCAGGCAGTGTGACAAAGTCAAAAGTTTCTAGCAGAGTGAAGAAACTGTGAGCCCAAGAAAGAGAACATTTAAGAAGACAAGGGATGATAAATGTGGGCTGTGGATCTGCATGGGAAAGATGCTTGAGAAGGCTGTAAGAGAGACATGGTGGAGCTGACCTCAAGGGCAGGAGGCAGGAATCTAGTATCAGACAATGGGGAAAGCATTGTCTGATTCCTCAATTTAGGGGGTGATGACAAAGGTAATCCTGCCCCCACATCCCCAAATCTGAGGGGTAGACCTGGGGCCAACCCTTATAGCACCATTCTTCCTGAGGGGTTAGAAAGAACATCTCTAAGGACCTTCTAGTGCTAAAAGACCATGACAGTAGGACCAAAGGGGTGGTAGTAGTATATCTGCCTTGGACTATGGCTGAAAGCAAGGGGCACCCTAAGATAGAATTGACCCAGAGCCTTAGGTCACAGGAAGACTCAGCTTTCCTGGGCCTATTCCAAAGAGAAACATGGACTCGTGTATCACTTAGAATCTCAAATTATAGTGCTTGTGATCAATTTAGGCCAAAGCATCACAGTGGAGATAGTTGTAGTAGCTTATGAACCAGCGTCTTTTGAAGAGGATGAGGAGTAGGGAAATTCTACAAAGGGCTTAACAAGATCTTTTCATTTAAATCAGTATCCATTGATACTGGTACTTCCAGGCAAAGATGAGGTATAGGAGAGAAAAGGGGGAAATATAGTTTGAGATTAAGAAATAGAGAGCCCAAAGAGTTGTGGATTTTTATCTATCTATCTACCTATGTATTTATGAAACTATAATACATACATACATACACAGCGTGCCTAGAAGTCTCATATATATGTGTGTGTATGTTTATGTAAATCATGTATATATCTATCTATACCTCATGCGCAGAAGCCATATATGTGTGTGTAGAAGTTTATACACAGATAGGTGTATGTACGTATACATATATATATATATACACACACACATATATATGTATATATATGTATGTATGTATATATATACACACACATACATATGCACACATATAAATGTGTGTGTGTGTATATATATATATACATATATATATATATAGGTATAGGTATATATAGGTGGGTGGGTGTATATGTATATCTGATATATATGTGTATACGTGTGTGTGTGTGTGTGTGTGTGTGTGTGTGTGTGTGTGTGTGTGTGTGTATAATGCTTCCTTCAAGAAGAAGCTTGGAAAAACATTAAACATGGAGAGCATTAAACATTATCACACACAAACATGCACATCTACAAATAAAGATGCAATTGACTATCTTAGCTGGTAGAGAATGACTGATAATCAGCTAGTCGATCATAAATTCTTTAGAGGAAAGGTCACTATTAACACTAAATTAGAAGAAAGAATATAGTTTAAAATTATAACAGTGACAACTAATTTCTCTTCTTTTCTTTAAAGTTTAAGCTGTGTGACAGACAAAAGGAGACCTCAGCCAGCAAACCCTTGTCTTGTTTCCAAGACATGGCAGCCAAAAGTGACACTGACTTAGAACAAAAGCTTATTTAAAAAACATTATGGAAGAGAATGACTGAAAATTAAAATCACTTTTGTCTCACACAACTGTGAAAAACACCAGAAAGGGAAATAAGGACAAATAAAAATCAGAATCCTTGAGCTGGGAAACAAGTCAAATAATAGATAAAACTGGACACAGAACAGCAAACAGATATGAAATGGAACAGATCTGCTTTTGTTTACTGTTTTCTTGTTACAAGAAAACCAAGAGCTTTTGAGTTGCCGGAATACTATGTGACCTTTTTATAATTAGGCTGAGTCATTTTTTGGAGCTTTTTGTTGCATCTTATATAAGAGGATTATTGTGGTATATGGTTATAGTCTAACCTTGATTTCTGCCAATGCTTTTTGCCATTTTCCCTTTAGTTCTTATTAAATAGGGAATTCTTGCCTCAATAGTTTGTCTTCTCGAGTCATTTGAAAGTTGGCATTCTCTCATACTGTATAACTCTTCCCTTGCCGCCACATTCTCCTGTAAATCCGGCACTGGGGCACACATGGTGTGCTGGTGGTCTTCATTTTTTTCCCTTGATGGTGTGTGGACAACAATAGGACCTGTAGGCTGCCCACTGCTTACTCACTCCCTCCCTCAGTGATGCTACAATAGAGCACCATGGACGTTGGCAGTTATCCAGTGGACACTGGGAAGGAGTGTGTGCTTGTAAGTAGGCTGCAGAAGGTTACCAGTGACTACTTGGGTTGAGAGAGCGACATAAAAAAGCCACTGTCATTGCTGACATATATAAAAGAAGAGGAAGTGGGAGTGAATCAAGTGGTGAGAGTTCTACATCTGAGTACGAAACATTAAAAGAATCACACCTCCAAGAGTGTTGGCTAGATCCTCTGAGGGGGTTTTCTGAGAAGAGACAGATTGGGGCTGCATAAGAGCAGTAGGGTTGGTGGGATTTTGATTTTTATAAGTGAAAGGAATACATACAAGGATGAGATCACATCTAGTGTCTGTGTGTATCGTGTTTTCCTTTAGTAGATTGTAAAGTCCATGAATGTAGGAACCCTATCTTTTCTAGACTTTGTGCCTCTTACAATCTATAGCATACTAGTGGGGACCCAGCTTACCAGATGAGGCAGTGTGGTGCTGTGGGAAGGACACTGGATCTGGAATCTGAGAACAGGTAGAATGACAGCCCTATGTAACCTTGAGCAGGTCACTCTCTGTGCCTTAGTGTCCTCAAAGGAAAAATAAGGAGTTGGACTAGCTGAGCACTAAAGGACTTGCTTACTTGGGCACCAGCAATTGTACAACCTGTACCCCCTACAAATAGAACTAAGCTTCTTGAGGGCAGGAACTATTGTTTTTGTCTGTTCATCTCTATCACCTAGTTTGTTGAATTTATTAAGTGGGCCCCCATGGGTTATTATAAATTTCTGTTGAATTCATGGTCAGCACAATTTCTCAATCAATTGAATCAATCAAACAATAGGCATTTATTAAGAGTTTATTAGATGCTAGGGATAAAAAAAAGTAGAATCATCTTTTTCCATCAGGGATCTTAATGGTATTGGGGAGGGGTGGCAGGGAGCAAACAATACATACGCAGTTAAATAAATGCAAGATATAAGGGCCTTTTTGATGTTATCTCCTTTGTAGTAGTACATGACTTTGGTGACTTCTGATTTTTTTTTTCATCCAAGTTCTATGGAGGTTGGTAGAGAGACTGACTGTCAGCTACTAAACCTTGTGGGGTCTCAATCTCCTTTTCTGTGAGGGAGTCAAACAAATAATCTCTAAAATTCTTTCCAGTTCTTACATCCTATGCTTTCTACCTCTTGAATAGGTAATATATACACCTGAGATATAATATTACATGTGTGTATCTACATATGCACATATAATGTTGTCTATCTTTCTTTCTATCTTTCTCCCAATAGATTGACCTTCTTTTTAAGTCAAACACATCAAACTTTGGTATTTTTCTTGTATAAATAATTTCTTTCCCATAGTATTCACATAGCCCCTGTGTACTCTGTCTACATGTTGCATTTATACTTTGATGTACAGAAATATGTGAGGGGTTCTTAGGTGCCTGGTTGGGGGGGATGTTAAAAAACATCAAAATAATGGTGCATCATTCTGGTTCTAAGAATCTATTTTGAATCTTTCTGTAGTAGCATAGCATGAGTCTATGTCTGTTTCAGTGTTTGGGAGAGAATGGATGCAATGGATAGAGAGCTGGCCTTAAAGTCAGGACAATCTCAGTGCCAATCCTGCCCCTGACCCATACTACTGGGTGAATTACCCTAAGAGAGCCCTGTACCACTTCAGTGCTTCAGACTCCGCTTCAAGATGATTAGTGGCAGAACAGATGCTGATTTGTAAGGCGAGATTCTTTCCTCAGTTTCCCTGCATTGATAAAATCAGAGGTCCTAAAGCTGAAACCAAAACCAAAAAAACCCCAATGTTTGGTATTTCAGTGA